ATTCTCATATGTCTTCTTCACCACCTACCCTTGGACCTGTTTACCAAACTCCAAAGCACTAATATTAGCACATGTGCTCAAAGCACAACTACATGCGTCCCTATTTAAACTTTCTCCATCTCATTTTATCTCTATAAACATGTTCAAAGCATCTTCATAGTGACCGTTATGAGCATAACCAGTAAAAATCGCAATGTATGAAATCGTATCTTTTTAAGGCATTTCCTCAATAAGAATTCTTGCCTCATACAACATTCCATTCTGCAAATATCCAGACGCCATTGTTGTCCTCGTGATCACTTTACATATTGGAGATTTGACAAACTGTCTTCTAGCAATTAACATATTTCCATTTCGGCAATAACATGAAATTATTGTTACAAGAAATCAAATCCCGGTCTGATTTTGACTTAAACAATCGATAACCTCCTTAATTCTCCTATTCATAACATATGCTAAAAGCAGCACATTCCAGGCGAAGGAATCCATACGAAGCATCCTATCAAAAACCTTCACTACTGAGCATGCCCAATTAACTTGGCAGTCCACGAAACAACATCCTTTTAAGACATTAACTCAAATAATTTATAGGCATCCCTAAGTCTGCGGTTCCCAACATATCCGATGAGAATTATAGTCCAGGATAACAAGTCCCTTTCAGGCATTTTATCAAACAGGTCCTTTGCAAGGTCAAATTTTTCGCTCCTCGGATACCCAAATTTCATAATGTTGTAAGACGCGGAGAGGCATGGAATTGAAAACATGAATTTGGCCCTTTGGCCATTTAGTAAAGTCTTTATCGTAGGTGATCGAATACAGATTGGCGACCGAATGAACGAATGGGCACCTTTGGCCCTTCGGGAGTTAGTTATCGTTAGCAATCAAAAGAAGATTGGTGACCGAATGACACCTTTGTCCTTCAGTAAAGTCTTTATCGTAGGCTCTCCAATGGAGATTGTCGGCTAAATGGGAACACCTTAGGCACTTCGGTAAAGTCTTTATCATTAGCAATCGAATGGAGATTAGCGGCCGATTAGGCACCTTTCGCCCTTTAGTAAAGTCTTTATCGTACGTGGTCGAATGGAGATTGGTGAATGAACGATCAAATGAGCACCTTTAGCATTTTGGGAGTTCTTTGTCGTTGGCGATTAAGAATGGACAGTCTCATACGCCATCTTCACCACCTACCCATGGACTTATTTACCAAACTCCAAAGCACTAATATCAGTACGTGTGCTCAAAGCACAACTACATGTGTCCCTATTTACCAAAGGGCCAAAGGTGCTTATTCGGTCTCCAATCTCTATTCGATCGTCAACGCTAAAGACTTTATCAGCTCCGCTCTTCATGGTTTATCGATCTCCAATCTCTATTTACCGGGAGGAGAGTTCCATTTATATCCCATCTAATGTTAGCGGGTGACTTGGTTTTGTTTGGATAAGCTTCTTTGGAGCAACTGGAGGTGATGTTTGACTGCCTCAATAGATTTTGTGCTATGTCTGGCCAAGCTATGAGTATTGACAAAACGGTCATCTATTTCTCAAGAAATACCCTTTTGTCCACTAAGGCTTCCATTGTTCAGGAGAGTGGAGTTAGACAGGCAGAGTCCCTGGGTAAATATCTTGGGGCCACTCTTTACCATGGTCGAGGGAGGAAATCGAATTATGAAGGGATTAACCGAAGGGTCAAGCAGTGTGGAAAACCAACCTTCTATCCTTTGCTGGGAGAACTACCCCAGTTAAATCAGTTATCAACCCTATTCCATCCTATCATATGCAGTACGACACTCTGCCTATTTCAATTTGTAGAAAAATAGAACAACTGCAAAGGTCCTTTATTTAGGGGGATTCAGCTCATAAAAGAAAACCCCAGTTAGTCTAGTGGGATACTTTGTGCACTCCTCAATCAGTTGGTGGCTTAGGTTGCAGGCCCATAACAAAGCTTTCCTCTTCAAAGTTGCGTGGAAAATGCTTAAGAATAAATAGGATTTATGGGTACAAGTGTTACATGGTAAATATGGTTGAAACTTGGACTGGAGGAGGAAAATCATGGCTTCAAGTCATGACTCCAGTTTCTGGAAAAGGGTGTGCTCGATTTAGGAGATTTTTAGTCAATCTTTGCAATGGGATACGGGTGATGGACTCGACATTCTTTTTTGGCAAGATTCTTGGACATGTTTGGAGAGGTCTTTTCACGAATTCACCCATTGTGCCTTGGATGATGAAATGCTTCAATTGAAGAGTGATGAGCTTGTTCAGGACATCACAGGATAGTGGAATTTGGACCTAATTAGTGAGTTTCTTCAATCTGATGTGGTTCAACACATTCGCTCGTTTCTGCCTCCTTCCATCGATAGGGGACCAAATTAGTTAATTTAGAGAAATAATATTGGTGAGAGGAGATTGGTTAGTACTGCTTACAATTATATTATGGGCTTTGACAACATAGCTCCTGACCCAGTTTGGAAAAGGATATAGAATTGGGTCGGCCCACATAGAATGCGCAATTTCATCTGGTTGGTGCTTCCGTGTTGTATTCTGACTAAGGAAACCACATCTAAGTGGGGAGGATCTACTTATTGTCATGTTTGTCTAAATGAAGTGATGATAGTCTTCATGTTTTGAGAGACTACAAGAGGGCAAGACCAATTTAGAAGGCCTGGCTCAGGGGAGGAGACTCTGTGAACTTTTTCTCGACAGACTTACAATAGTACATTAGGAAAAGCTTGTCCGAAGGATGCTGGTCTCATATCTTCATAATATCTATATGGCATTTGTGGATGTGGAGAAATCGGGAGATTCATAACCCCAATTTCAACAGACCCAGTAATCCTTTCTAGTTTTAATCTATATATATAGTGGAGATCCGTGTTGGGATGTTAATCCAATCGAAACCCTCCTCCTGGGATTTTTGATTATGAGGCCTGGTCTCCTCCTCCAACAGGGTGGGGGAAATTAAATGTAGATGGTGTGGTGGATGTTATCTCTAACAGAGCCACTTGCAGTGGCCTGATCAGGAATGAAAATGGTGAGTGGGTGAGAGGTTTTACCTAGAGTATATGGAGATGTAGTCCTGTCGTTGCGGAATGCTAGGCGATTCTGATTTGTCTCCAAGTTGCGTGGGAATGTGGGATAAAATTCCTAATTGTAGATAGCGATTCCTCTCTGGTGATTGAGGACCTCAACCGTAGGAATGGTTCTAGGATAAACTCTCACATGGTTAATAACATCAAGACCTAATGTGCTAAGGATTGGGAAATTCATTTTATCCATGTTAGAAGGGAGAGGAATAGAAGCGTTGATTGGTTAGCGAAATTTCCAGGTGTTTTAGGAGCCAATATGATCATTCATCAAGATCCCCCCCCATGTTTTAGGGTCGCTACTGGCTGCTGATGCTGGTGGCCTAACCCTTAGTTAGTCTTTTTTTTCTTTGGGCTTTGGCCCCTTTTTTATACTGAAATAATAATAATAATAAGTTAAAGGCTTATGCAAAAAAAAATCATATCATATTGTACAACTTTAATCTTACCCATCCTTTTATTTTCAGCCTCTTCTTCATCTTTTCATTCTTCACATAACCAAAGCCAGGGACTTTCTCAAGCTTTTATATTAGGGTTGGTATCCAATATATATATATATATATATATATATATATATATAGAGAGAGAGAGAGAGAGAGAGAGAGAGAGAGAGAGAGAGAGAGAGACATATATCTTACACCAGTGTAAGAGTTAGAAGTCTTACACTCAATCTTGATCATTGATCCACTTGTATCCAATTACTCACATTATTAAAAAATTAGAGCCTTAGATATAAGGGAGATCAATGGTCAAAATTGAGAGTGTAACTTACATTGGTGTAAAATGATCCTGCCTATATATAGAGAGATAGGATCCTTTGACACCGGTGTCAAATTTGAATTTTGACACCTCATCTGATAGCCGTTAGATCAAAAAAGATCAATGGTGTCACATGCTTACAAATCCGAGTCGTTAATCTTTTTTGATCTAACGGCTCTCATATGAGGTGTCAAAATTCAAATTTGACACCGGTGTCAAAGGATCCTACCTTTGTATATATATATATATATATATATATATGAAAAAATGTATATCATTTTAAATGATATAAAATTTTGTCATTTTAGAGAGAGAAAGAGATAAATAATAGGAGAGAAAGTGGAGGAAAAAAGTTTTAAAAATATAAGTCTCACCTCTGTGAGGGTAAAAAGATGTAAGGTGAGTTTACCAAAAAAAAAAAAAAAAAGATGTAACATGTGTCATTTAAAATGACACACTATATATATATATATATATAAATATATATATATATATATATATATATAAACTATTGGAAATATATTTCTAAAGTTACAATATACAATTTTGTCTCATACGAATGGAACCCACCTTTTCTCTTTCTTCATCTTCTCCTCACATGGACCTTATACACTTCTATGTGTGTATAAAAAAAAAAAATTTATTTCCTATAATATAAAAAACATAAATCTTATAAACTATAGGTTTGTATATTCTCCAATAATAGAAAATATCTCCTCTTATGTTACAGACTCGAGCTCTGTGAGTCCCACCACTATAAATAAAAAGAAAAAAGAAAAAAGAAAAAAAGAAGGCAAACATGTCTATATACCTGCAAGAAGAATAATGTCTCTCCGGGAGAAACATATTCCCCATAGACTATATGATCCTTTGAATAACAATAATTGATTCTTGAACAAATTAGGCTAGTTGCAAATAGTCAAATTGTCACTAACAACTCTATTTTGTCTTCATTTTTTATTTTACCTACATCATAGGCTTTTTATTTTTATTTTTTATACCATTTTCTTTTATTATCAAGAAAATAACTGTTCAAATTATTACATAAACTCAGACGCTTAAGTGACACGTGCAAAGAGGACGGGCACCGAAATAAAGGTGCAAGGGATAGTAAAACAAGTAACCTAAAAAAACGAAGGAATGGCAGAAATAATAGACCAAATACATGAATAAAAAACAATTACCACATTTTCGTGGGTATTCTAAAATGCGTAAAAGTGCTAAAAAAAGAAATTAAACATGGAAGTGGAATACACAAAGCTGGATATACATTCGATGATGCGGAAATACCTGTAGGAATACAGGCACATTTGCCGCAACACAAATATAAAGAAAACATGCGTTTCTAGTATTACATAAGATGCATTACCTATATAACTGTACAATGCGTCTGTCTAGCAAGCTACTTGTTACAAGTGAGCTAGCTAGAACAACAGTGAGAGATAATACGTAAACTTGCAAAACTAGAAACTTGTCCATCTCCACAGCATCTAAGAAGCAACCAACCTATATATGCACATATTCCAAGTCAGAACAGAATATATCAATTATGCATCAGAACCACAAAACATATAACAGCAGTTTGCACATGGAAACCATTAGCTCGGGTGTCGAGGGAAAGAGTTGCAGCAAGCGAAGCCATGATATATAAGTGTGACCAACCAAGACAGACCACCAAGAAGATGGAAACTCCCCCCCCCCCCCCCCCAACAAAAAAAAGGAAGATGATAAGAACTTTGGGATGTCACCCCAAAAGCTAACTTAAAGGATGGGAATGTCCAAGGCCTTATAAACCCCACATTAGTTGCTCATACAACCAATGTGGGACTTCAATTCCCATACCTTGCAAATAAGATCATAAAATTCCACCACAATCCGCAACTCCGGCGCCCATGCGGGCTTTGCGCTAGTCTTTTACTAGCCACGAGCGAACACTGCAATGCCTACGTAACCACCCGCGTAGCTCGATTGCAACTGGGAGACATAGTGGAAGGATCTAATACCATTTGATAAGAATTTTGGGATGCACCACCCCAAAAGCTAGCTCAAAAGATGGGAGTGTCCAAGAACTTATAAATCCCATATTAGTTGTCCATATAACTGATGTGGAACTTCAAGTCCCATACCTTACAAATGGGATCATAACAAGATTAATAAAAAAAATAAAACAAAAAGCTACATTACCAACCTTGAAGGCTTTGGCAATTGTCATCAATCATCCCAGGCACTATCTGCTGCGCCCTCTCCTTTAAAGTTTGAAGGAGTGATCATGAATTTATACTTATCTTCGATGTTAATGGAAGCAGATCCCGATCCCAAGTGCTTGGATAAGGCGATATTTGCCTCTTTTTGTGCAGCTGCCGCTTCTTTCTCCTTCCTTCTAGCAACCTAGAAGCCAATAGCAGAAAGTCAACAGTGAAGCCCAAGGTTAAATATAATGTAAAGAACCTTGGGATACATCACCCCAAAAGCTAGCTCAAAGAGTGAGAGTGCCCAAGACCTTATAAACTCCACATTAGTTGCACATACAACCAATGTGGGACTATATATCTCAACACGCCCCCTCACACGAGAGCCCATTGGGCTTGAAGAGTGGACAATGCAACAGGCCCAGCCTACCTGTGCTAACAAACGCCACAAGAGAAAGTGGGGAGCGGCGAGGCTCTGATACCATGTAAAGAACCTTGGGATACATCACCCCAAAAGCTAGCTCAAAGGGTGAGAGTGTCCAAGACCTTATAAACTCCACATTAGTTGCACATACAACCAATGTGGGACTATATATCTCAACATATAATATCCCGAAATTGAAATAGGATTCGGGAGAAAGTGAATGTCTTAGACACAAAACTCAGACATCTAATTATACTACTAAACTAGTACAGTACAACTACAACTAGCTACTACAAGCCCAGCCCAATAAAACAACTAACACCGTAAGAGTCCTTAAACACTAATTGTCCGTTTAGTATATACGAGACACCAGTAAAATTATATTGAAAACTCATTTATTCATTCTTCACCATCATATTTATTGGTATTCCAACTGGACCACAAGAGTCCTAACTCATTCTAGCAGGACAAATATGGTACCTTTCCAGTTGCAAACGCCGGACTGTTCCCAGATTCAGCATCAGCTATTGCTTTCCTTATATTTGCCACAAGGAACTAAAGAGCAGAATCATATTAATATCAAAGTCAAGAGGAAAAAGCCAAGTTCAAATTTTTCATTAATTTTTTTTTAAGAAAAGGAGGATAGCAAGTACCATGTCACGATCAGTGTAAAAGGAAGTAGATAGGCCGGTTGATCCCGCACGCCCTGTCCTTCCAATTCGGTGTACATAATCTTCCATGGTCTATAATTGAGGCAGCCATAACTGAAGCTTCAGGTATGTATTTCTCAATGAAATTAAATTTGACTGAAAATTACCAGTCTAATGAGATGCCAACATAGCAGTAGCAGAATGACAATTCATTAACTGCGGAAAATCCCCGTCCGTTTTCAGATATTCTTTTTCTTAGTGGATTAAAGACAAAACTCATTCATCAAGTAGTTTCCGCTTGAAGCAGAAATACCTTTGGAAGATCTAGATTGATGACATGCGACACTCCTGTGACATCCAATCCCCGAGATGCGACATCAGTAGCAACCTGCATGATGCAGTATAAACAATTAATATGGTTAGCGGATAAAATTTCAAAAATTTATTTAATATAATTATGCAAAAATTGTGAGGATTTAAAATTTTAATTAGAATTACGTGAAGGAAAAAGGAAAGTACAATATAAATATCAATATATCATAGGTCCATATGTTAAGCACTGTAGCAGACTGATGGGCTGAGATAATTAGTGATGGGCCTGAGATAATTAGTTAGTTAGTTAGGGAGTTGTTCTAGAATATTCTCAAATAATAGGATATAAGGAGGGGAGTGTGGGAGTGTGAGGTATGCATGTATTCAGAATTGGTTAGTGGGGAAATTTGGGGATCTCTGGGAGTTGAGGTCTCTAGGGGTTTATTTTCTGCATTTTATCTTGTAAGGAGCTTGGCTCCATTTATGTTTTCATTATTTCCAGTTTTATAAAAATAGGTTCCATCACAGACATAGGAGGTGGCACGCAGACAACGCAGTGCATGTTACTTTAATGAGTTTACTAAAATTGAAAAAATTAGATTATAAATTGATAAAACCTCAAGGAATTCACACAGAGTGGAAACACAGAAATATACTATGGAAAATCAGCTTTACAGACACCAATATCCAAAATAACGATGGTAATGGCTGAAAACAGCCTTAGAGACACTATGAAAATGCTAACAGAAAAGCCACTACGAAAATGGCAACAAAGGGCTCTAAGAACACCTCTTCCCAACCCACTACCCCAGCCAAATCCATTACAATTCACATACCCACTCCCCATATTATCCCACCTTTTTTCTCATTCTCTAGGAACGTTCTAGAAAAATTCCCTAACTAACTCACTCACTCACTTTCAGGCCCATCAATATTCCCCCTCCAAAACTCACCTTGTCTTCAAGGTGAAGAGAGAGGACAAGTAAGGTGAGAGAACTTCATCCAGGATCCCAATTCTTGTAGCATCTTGACCACATTGGCAGCTTCAATTCCATTTCCTTTCCATGAATCTCACCCCTCAACTTCAACCAGTGGCTGGAAATGAGACCCACAATACCAAGGATGCTCAACCGATGAGTCTCGCCATCCTCCATGCTTTCACTATCACAGAACTACTCTTCCCCTTCCAGCTTCAATTTGTCAGTACCCATCAAGATGATGGGGAAGTGCTGGTTTTGGTAGATTTGGTCTGGTGAAAAATGAGCATTGCTCTGGAAGCGTAAATTTCTGCGCCACCCGAACCTCGACCCTCCCCTTACTCCAGCTACAATAAGGTTTTTCTTGACCAGCCTCACACCTCCATTGTTGGAGGTCACCCCTTCTAGGCGTTGCCCCTCATCAGGTTGGTTTCCAATGTTACTCTGGTCGCTAGCTTTCCGGTTGAAATCGACACCGGAACAGTACTCTGGTGGATGTGACCAGTGAGGAACGGTGGTTCTGGCAGCAATTGGTGATTCTAACGGTTGAAGAATCAAGCCGGAAGGATGCACGGCATAGAGGATCTACCGGAGGGACACACAGCTGATGATAACTTGCCGAAAGGACGCACGGCAAAGTAAAAGAGAACACCCAAGCAGTGGACTTAGGGTTTTAGCAAAAGCGGATGCCCAAAACAAATAGCTCTGGTACTAACTTGAGATTAAAGAATAATTGTATATTGAATAATCGTGTACAAGAGCTCTCTATTTAAAGAGACTAAAAGACCTAATGGACTAAGCCCACAAGATGTTGGATTATTCTATTATATACACTAAACTATTCTAACAGTTACAATCAACTGTCGTCTTGTTTAATCTTCCCGGGCCATATATGTTCGGCCCATTTCACAACTCGGTAACCCTGAAGTCATCGGGCCCATTCTGCATCCCAGTAACCCTGAAGTTGGGCCTCACGTCCTTGCTATTGTTAGCCCGCTTCATAAAGGCCGGGCGGGCTGTCATATCTCCGCTCTGCCCACTTGACAAGTCGACCCAGAATCTAATACCCGGGTATGGTGTCACATCTCCTAGCTGTTTTACTTCGTCGTCTCTTTTATCCTCTTTTTCTTCTGTGACTTCTTTTGTTTCTTTTTTCTTCTGCAAGTTCTTCTCCGTCTCCTTTTTTTTTTGTTCAACATCTACCTCTTCTTCCTATTGATCTCCTTTGTCTTCTTGTGCTTCTTTTTTTTTTTTGGTTCTTCTCCAATTTCTTCTGCATTTTTATTTTTTTTCTTTTCTGAAATGTCTTTGCCATCACCATCCTGTTGCTTCTTGGCTTCCACAGTTAGAGACTCTTGCTTCTCTTTCCATGCATCTATGATTTTTATCATTTTCCGCTGGCCTTCGCCCATGCTCTAAGTTCTCCCCTGGTTTTCACCTTCTCAAGGATTTGGACCATAAGCACTTCTGAAATCGAAGATGCTCTAATACCAAATCGATGAAACCTCAAGAAATTCACACACAAACAGAGTGGAAACACAGAAATATACTATGGAAAATCAGCTTTACAGACACCAATATCCAAAATAACGATGGTAATGGCTGAAAACAGCCTTAGAGAACTATGAAAATGGTAACAGAAAAGACACTACGAAAATGGCAACAGAAAAGACACTACGAAAATGGCAACAGAGGGCTCCAACAACACCTCTTCCCAACACACTACCCCAACCAAATCCATTACAATTCACATACCCACTCCCCATATTATCCCACCTTTTATCTTATTCTCTACGAACATTCTAGAAGAATTCCCTAACTAACTTTCAAGCCTATCATAGATCAACCTATTGGGCTGACTCGCACGATCCATTCCAGCCCACTTTGTTTGGCATCCAACCCCAAACCCATCACTGACCCACGCAAGATTCCTCCTCTCTACCAGTGAAGTCTCCCTCATCATCTCCGTTAAACCGACGATATTCTTTTGCAAAAGCTATGTACAGAAACTATCACAGACCCCATGTAGCCAAATCTGCATGAGCATTTGGTCATTTGCATAGTGCAAAGTGCTAATAATCTTTTCAAACTCCGCTCGAAAAGAAGCCACATCTCCGGTCTACTTCAGATTCATAAGCTCTTGGTAAGGACTCCCAGTGACCTCCAACTGAAAACGCTCCATGACTTCTGCTCTAAATTCTGTCTAAGAAGCATTTGGGTGGTTTCTATCCCAAATCAATTATGAGCTGGGCCTTTCAACACAACCATCACCGCTTCGACCTTATCCCTGTCAGAGATCTGATTGAGTTGGAAATACCGTCTGACCTTCATCATCCATGTATGGACATCATCGCCAAAGAACCTAGGTAGTTCGAGTCTGGGTATAGGTCGCTGCCCACCACGGAAATCAAATTCTGCCCAAGACCCACCCTCAGACTCGGTGGATTTTAGGCTCCTCCAACGCGAGCGGCCGCAATGGTGATGCCTACTCTGACTACGCCTATCCCTGCCAATTTCCTGTTGTAGGAGTTGGAAGATCTCATTCAATCTACGATCATTGCATTGGTGATGCTCCTCCACCAATTCCTCATCCTCTCTTTTATGATCTCAAACCGGTTGTCCGTGTTGCATGTAAGAACCATTCAAAGCACCCCGGATCGAAGTGCTCTGATACCAGTTGATAAGACTGGATCAGATAACAAAGAAATCAAACAATTTTTGGCCCAGAAAAATATCTGGATTTTCTGTATATTGAAGAAACAAAGGTTACAGCAAAGGAAATTTGCATAAAAGTAACTACAACAGAGCAATGCTGTTAACAGAAGGAAAGTTCAAAAGGCAGAAGCTAAATATAAGCAAATTAAAGAGATGTTGATCTCTCCAAGTCCAAGTTCCAATTCCAATTCCAAGCTGCCCCTCCCTCACATGCCCAACGCCCCATATAACCCATCATCCTAACCAACTTAGCCATCTCAGCATCTATATAACAGAATTTGCCCATAACAGAATTACAGATACTCAATTAATTACATGCACTATCATCTAGAATACTCTCATGGCTAAATAATCCCCCGTGACGCCTCCTATGATACACCTTCACATGTGTCTTATCATAAACATAATCATTTAAGCTCAAAATTTTCTTTTCTTTTCCCTGTTTGATACAAGAAGGAATTTCATTTAGCAATCTAAGGGATTAGAACAAGCCAAGGCTGGCTTCAATGTTTTTAGACAAGCCACAGCTGGCTTCACTATATTTCTCAAAACTATTTTCATAACTACCAAATACCAATATCCATTTTGAACGATTAGTTGTGATGGGTGATGACAAAATATTGTTGAGGATAACCACAGATTTGGTAAGGGAATGAAAGCAAAAAGAAGAAAAATGATGTACTGATAAAGTTTGAGTATTGTGCTCTAGCAATGCAGGAGAGATTACCAAAATGCTGGTGGAGCCACTCCGAAAATCTTGCAGGGCAGCCTCTCTTTCACTCTGACTGCGGCCACCATGAAGAGAAACTGCAGATAATCCTTGAGCTACCAATGCTTCAGCAATTTCGTCACACCTTGTCTGCATGCAGCCACATCGAAATATAAATAACGAGAAACATGGAGATATCAATGTTTAAACAAACCGCTCAAATATTATTTTAGGCTAAAATAAAAATAACCCGCCTCAACTTTAACACTATCAAACTACCTGTGGTTTCCGATTTTGGAACTAATCCACTTAAACTCTCAATATCTAGCAAATAACCCATTTCATTCACTAAGTGAAAGAAAGCAAGGAAATTAGGTTAACTAAGTTGAGTTTGGCTAGATACAACAAGAGTGCTACTAAATGTAATTTCTTTTAATTTCATGATCATATGGGATTTTAGAAATTTATCGCATTTTGATGACCCTGCCGAGTGGGATAATGGGGCTAATTGTGGTTGTTGGATGGAAGGGTCAATTGCCTATTTGCCAAAATTTCAGGTGAATTTGCCAGGTTAAAGTTGAAGCAATCTATTTGCCATCTGCCCCATAAAACAAAGCAGAGTTACAAAAATATAGTTCAAGGAATGCATGCAACTAGTTTGGCACACAAATCAAATTAACAAATATCATTACTCTACTAGGAAGAGTTTGGAACCCAAATCCAATAATTCTAAGTTGAGCTTGATTCAATTCTGCAGTGCATTATTACAATATGCAAGAACAGAAAACAAAAAATTGGGTCAGGTCACAGCACAAAATGAGAAAATAAAATTGAAAATGGGCATAATGCCATAATGGAGAGATAATTCGGCATGACTAACCATAAACATTGAAGCATTTAACTTTTGACTTCTTGTATCTAAACATATAAGAAATGTAGATGACATATTGATACATAGAATGTACAAAGAATACAGCATACCTTTCTCTCAACAAACACAATTGTTAATGGAAATGGATGACCACACTTTTCAGCCTGTGATGCCTCCTCTACAAGCAAATCTAGAAGCCGATCAATCTACAAGAACATTATAAGATTTCAGAACAGAAACCAAAAGCAAGACAGATGAAAAGAGAAACAAAAAATAAAAAATTGAAGAGAAGGACCACGCATATTTCAGAAAACGTAGGGTTAAAATGTAAATAAACTAAATAATTTATCCAGTTTCTTTCTCCACTATCCTCATTTTTCCACTCTTACCTCTATAACTTTTCTCAATCTTATGCATTCTCCACTTATTTAATTTTATGCCCACACATGTTTCATGTCATGTACGTAAGAACTTGCATACAACTACAACTCCTCAGAATACCACTCCTTCCAGAAACAGGGAGAATGAAAACAAGAAACCGTAGAGAAATTAAAAACAATCTTTGAAAATTATTGATAGCCAATATTGTAGGAAAGTTGAAACTGGATAATTTTTAATACATCTATTAATGAAAGTATATTTATTTTTGTTAGCTTAGTAAATGTACCTTCTCATCTTCAGAAACCTTCACAAGAGTTTGTGAAACATTAGTTGTTGGGCTACTGACTTTTCCCACCCTCACCTGTACAGGGCTAGCTAAATACTCCTGAAATTGAACAGAAAATTGTTGAGCTTCAAAAAAACTCTTTCAACAACTGAACTTACAAAGAAATATATTGATGACAGGAAAATGCTTAAAAAGGATATTTTGGGACTATCATTTAATTATAAAGAAAATCATGGGGGCAAGATAAAATAAAGAAAGCCAAAAGGAAAAACAATGATATTCAAATTATGGAACACACATCTACAATTCAAATACATTTTATCATCAAGCAGCAAGAATTTTTTATAAAATTATTTCAGTGAAAAGCAAAACCTAAATGCTAGAGTTATTTTGTTACTTGTCTTACCATTAGCACACAGAAAGTCACTTCAATATATCAGAATAACACCATGCATTATTTTAACATAGCTCAAAGGAGAAGATACCAATGTCGAAAAAACATGTGTTGAGAACAAAGGAAACCTGACTTTTGCTAATGCTTCAATCTCCTCAGGCATAGTTGCACTAAACAGCAATGTTTGATGCTTCTCTGGAAGACTTCTCATTACCTGAGGATAATATTAGAAAATGTAAGTTTTTCTTTCGGTAATTTAGATGCACATCTATTAATTCAACACAAGAATGTAATATTGCAACATAAAAGGCTTTTTTATTTCTGATAACCCATTCACAAGAGAGCATATATGCAATAATCAGGTAAAAAAATTCCAAGCATGACCATAATAGTTAGGTCATGAAAATCCAACTCATGTAAGGTACAGACAAATGAAACTGCTAAATTCTTAAATCTGAGAATGAAAATGAAATTTCTATCCAGACAAGAGGAATCATTTTATTGTTGAGTTCGTGCTTTGGAAATTGTAACCTCGTTTTTCTTTCTTATCTAAGGAGACCTTCTCCTGATAAATTCTTAAAGAGGTTGGACTCCCATAGCCAAATCATAATGTTTGACATCATTGGCTTGAGTACCAAATTTAATTATGGCAACAGTTGAAGTGAACAGGAAAAGAGATCCATGGAAACAACTGAATTTGGAAACGTTGTAAAGAAAAGCACAAACACTGTAATGAAGTCACAAACATATATCTTACATTAGGAATGGAATTGTTGTGAAAATAAAGCAAAAGTTCACATACCCAAGAAAAAGTCTAACAACACTAACCTCTCTTATCTGTGGTTCAAAACCCATATCAAGCATTCTATCTGCCTCGTCTAGAACAACAAAAGAAATTCTAGAGAGGGAAGTATTGCCTTGTTGTAAGTGATCAATAAATCTTCCAGGAGTGGCAACCACTATTTCAAGCCCTGCTCTTAGTTCAGACCTCTGTCATAGAGACCAGAAAGAAAACATGCAGAAAATAATGTTACATTCGAGTGGAGCTGAATTAAATTTAAATTAGAAAGTGTTCCCAAACACATAACACATGTATACTAGCTGCATGAAAACACAGCAAAACTAAAAATGAAATCAAAGATTTATAATAGCTTATACATATATGAAGCTCTTTGACCACACTAAACAGAATTTTGTAATGCCAATAAGACAAATCATAATCATCATTTGTCTTTGACCAAACTTTTAACAAAAACAGGCATAAAAAGAGAAGATTATGTAAACATATAATTACCTGCTTTTCAATGTTAGTTCCACCCACAACTATGGCAGTTTTCAATGACTCGAGAGATCTGCTAAAAGCTTTAACCTGCCAAAAGAAAAAAACACAACAAAGATTCTTGACAGAACAACAACAAAAAACGGGTAATTCATAGAAAGGAGATAATAATAGATAAAACGAAATGAATTGATGTAGATCCTAGTTTCAGGCATAATAAGAGAAGATGCTGATTATAAAATTACACAATGGATAATTCAATGATAGCAAGAATCTTGTACCCATGACAAATTTGTTAGGGATCCAAATACCAAATAGGGAAGAAACATAGAGAATAGACAATCTCAGCATAAAAAAAGAGAGAATAAAAAACTTTGAGGCTTTGCATCCAAAAATTAAAAATAAATAATTAAAATCATTGTAGTAAGAATGGCCATAAGGGGAGTATAATTGACTATTTACTTCCACTTTTAAAAAAATTCAAAGGTGAGAAAAAAGTAAAAACATTCATGTCTCAAGCTCCATGTGAATCCAGATATAAGTATCATTTAGAGATAGTCCTAAAATCATTTATGGCTTACAAAGAAAATTATCAACTAGAACTGGAGAAATAAACAATAAAGTCTTCCCCAGATAACCCATGATTCATCCACATAAAACTACATATATCACCTCTTTTTCTATTTGTTGAGCAAGTTCTCTAGTAGGAGCCAAAATTAATGCCATGGGACCGTCATTGCGCCGAATTGGAGGTTGGGCCAAGCAATGCTAAAAATAGGAAGGAAAAAAACATTAAATCACAAAGAAAAGGATGATCTTTGTAATTGGTTTGTTTTTTCACCACACGGAATCTAAGGATATCATTACAGAGTTCAGTAAACATGTAATGTCTAATAAGTTCAGACCTGTATCATAGGAATTGTGAAAGCTGCAGTCTTCCCACTACCCGTTTCAGCACAACCCAATAGATCCCTTCCACTGAGAGCAACTGGCATGGCCTGTGCCTGGATAGAAGTTGGCCTAGTGTATTCATGATAAGCAATATCCTTCATGATACTTGGGTGCAAACACTAGAACAAAGAAGTTCACAATTTCACACACATTTGCCATAATAGCTCTTTTTTTTTTTTTTTTGGGGGGGGGGGGGGGGGGGGTTGTAAAGATAGCACATAATTACATGAAAGAAAAATGAACACGATCAAAAAAATTAAATACCATATCAGTAAATGATTCAATTGGTGCAGGTGCAGCAGGAGAGTCAGATGCAATAGTAACATCAAGATTAAGCCGCAAGCGGACTTCTTCAATCTGGATATAGCAAGCACTAGAATTCAGTAACCAATATTTGCTTGTGGTTATAAAACTAGAGAGAACAGGTAGACATAGCAACATAAGGGTAGAAATGAAGTATGAAGACAAAAGCTAGCTCGCAGAACTTTAAAAAAGACAAAATGACATAATGATAACTCTATTAAATATACCCTAAAAGAGAGACAATTAAGATGACCAAAACAGTAGAGAGAGCGATTGTAAGGACCAACAGAAAAGGAAATAACAAGGTTCGGGATGTTGAAGAAAAATCTATAACAGTCGTTGATAAACCACAAAAGTTGAAGCCCCCTTCATCACAACTTAGTAAAAACTCACTTTGCATCCAAGGTGAAAATAGCAACCTTTCTAGCTCCTTCTTTGACGAAAAGTCACCTCTACCCTTCTCACTCACTTTAAAGCCTGCGGCCGAAATAGCTCACTCCACAACAACACAATACTGTCCTATTCAGCTTCCAGGTAGTTAAAAAGCCACCACTCCTCTGATTTTCTTTGTTGCAAGCACTACATTTACTAATAATTACAATGCTCGTGATCATATCCCAAAATTCCAATTGAACCAAACTTCCATAATAAACTTCCTGAACTGAATTAAAAAAAAAGTCCACCACTTTCATAAAAAAAGCAATGCATCACAGTAACACCAGCGAAACACAAAATTAAAATTAGGGGAAAAAATAATAAAAAATCCCTAAACATATGAAGAGAAACAGACATACATTCCTTCGAAAAATCTCGAAATCAAAACATTCATTCAGTTCAAAGGTTAAAAAACCAAAAACAAAAGAAGCGAAAGAGAACTACGATATGAAATTGAAATGGAAGTTGATAAACAGTGAAAATGGTGATTGGATTGGAACCTGGTCGGGGTTCATGCGGGAAACGCGCTCAGAGGGTTGCCAGTGAGGGATGACGGGGTCGGGGACGGCGAGAATCCGGGACGGCGGAGGAGCGACGGAACTCCGGCGAGAGGCGTTGGAGAGAGACGAAGTGAGAGAGTTGTTGTTGTAGTTGTTGTCATTGGAGTGAGAGTTTGAGGAGGGAAATGCGAGCTTTGTGTGATGGTGGTGGTTGTGATTGTCTAGGGTAGCCACGGTGGTTGAGCTCCCGTTTCTCAGGTGTGGAGGCACATACGACATCGTTTATCCCTTATCTTCCTAACACACACGGAGAGAGAACGAGACAAAGAGGTTTTTCTCACAGTAAGGTGAGTTCGTGATAATGATAACGATGACGAGTATGAAAAAACGGGGATAGCCTAACTCGTAGCTATGGTGCTTTCTCTCTCTTTCTTACTATATGGGCTTACATGATAATATTGAGACCCAATTACATGGCCCATTTTTTAAGTATAATTTTTGTTATTTTTGAAAAATGTTCAATAATTAGATATTTATTTATTGTCTAGCAGGTTATTTTTTTTTTTTTAAATGTGTATCATTTTAAGAATATAAAGTTGTGTCATTTTAAGTAAGAGAAAAAAATAGATAAAAGATGAGAGAGAATGGACAAAAAAATATAAAGACGTGGATCTCACTTCTTTAAGAGAGTAAAATAACACAAGTTATGTCATTTAGAATGACAAACATTTTTTCTTTTTTCTTTTTCAACTAAATCCGGATCTTTTGCAATTTTAAGTAAAACTTGATGACGTAATGGTACAAACTCATTAAACTATATTTGTTTTTAATATTTTACCATTAATAAAAAAGTTTCAAGAGTTGAGATACCTTACAGTTTAATATTCATTACAATGGAGAGTTGGTGACAATAATGTATATAAAATTTATTATTTTAGGAAAGACTATATTTATTATCATTTTAGATTTATCACAACAGTTAAAAAAAACAAAAATTTCCAATAATTTCAAATTAATCCAACAATAATAAAATAAATAATAAACTTAAAATGGTGGTAAGTAACCGCTTCCATTCTCTTCCTTTTACACTATCTACCTTATTTTACTTTCATAATCATGTATTGTTTTTAAATGTTTCTTTTTGTATTTTGATTTTTTTTATAGAAGTATTATGATTATTAAGTTAAAAGTTTATTTTATTTTCAAAAGTTTACATTTTTTTTAAATATAAAAATAATTAAAAATAAATTAATTTTTGGTTGAATTATTTTGTGGGAAAAATGTTTCTGCAGTTAATGCAGATAAGTTATCTGCATTTATTCCCAAAACGACGTCGTTTTGATATTGAGATCTTAAAAAATTATAAATATAAAGACTATTATAACCCTGAAATAAATTAAAATTACAAATACATCATGATTTTCGCCCAGAACGATGTCGTATTGAACTTACTGCAAAAAAAAAAACGAACCCTTATTTTATTTGATGCAGTCATAAACTTAAATACAAAACAACTAAAACAGCAATAAAGTTTAAGCACTAACACTTGAAAACTAAAACTTTTATTTTAAATTTTATATATATATATATATATATATATATATATATATATATATATATTAAAGACAATTTATTTCACACGTTACATTGTATTATCTCACTTAATTTATAATTATTATTAATTTTATATTTTTTTATAATAGTAAATATTCAAAATGGATTAAAAATATTAATTTGAAGTAAGGAACAATAATAATCTTATGTACTATAAGTAATATAATATTTAAAAATACATCTTGCAACACCACCTTATTAAGTATGTTAAATTATATTTAGCATATACGTTTCAAGTTTAATATTAATGTCATTAGTTAGTATGTATTAATAATAATATTATGTACATTGATTAATTTAAATGGTATTATTCAATATAATAATAAATAAAAATTAGTCAATGCACTCTGTAAAACACTAATTTTCAATAAATAGTTATTTTCTTATCATGCCTTATCAGTATATTTTGAGAATATAAGAAGAAATTAAAATTTAAGCTTATCATGTTTTTCCTAAAATTTTAAACCTAAAATTATTTGTAATAAATTATTAAAAAAAAATTCCTAAAAAAATTTCCTATATTTTTATTCTTTTATCACTTACTTTGTGCTTTAATTTTTATCACTTACAACTTTTTATTTTTCCATCCAATTTTCACCTTTTAATGCTGTAAAAATTATATTAATTTACTCATTTTACCTCATAAACAGTTAAAAAAACCACAAAAAGTACTACAAAGAAAAATCAAAGCACCACAGGAAAAAAACACTACAAAGAAAAATCAAAGCACCACAGAAAAAATATGAAATTAAAAGTTTAAAACACCAGAAAGAGAGGAAAACAACACAAATGGAAAAACGTGGATAAGCATGCTGTCGTTCTGAGCTGTGTCACTGTGTGGTCAACATAAAAGAAATATAGTTGTGTGTCATTGTCCAATGCAAATTACTGCATTGCATATAGCTTTGTGTATTATAATTATTCTTTATAACTTCTGGATTTAATGTTTTTCATGTTATAAGAAATAAATTTATCTCTTATATACTTATAAAAGTGTGTGAATTTTATATATATTTTTTCTCTTTTCTTCACATAGTTTCACATGAGTCCTAAAAAATAAAATTATTTTTTACAAGACACCTTAATATCATCCTATTTTGCCCGATGAATGTATGAAGCAAAAAGGACAAACGATCAAACACTATGTAGTGGGAATATACATGATTGAGGACCTCGATCTACATTTGTAATATTAAAAAAATAACAATGAATTTTGCTATAAACAAATTTGTATGCCTAATGTAGATGTGTTTCAGCTTCTAAGAAAGTAGACCTGATGGTGGTGATAACGTGTTAGGGAGAGAGAAGTAACAGAAAGAAGGTCATGCAGAGAAAGGGTACCATCTACAAAGTTGAGGGATCATTACTGTTAGGAGTAAGAGAATAAATAGATGATAGGAAACATATATTGAAAAGGTAGATACAAAGAGAATAGGACAGGTGTGACTACACGTGTAAAGTGGTAAGATAGAATGGTTGTACAGATGTTGGATAAATAGGCAATTGTAACCGATTGGAATTCACTTTGAATGAAAATACTATTTTGTTGTTCTGTCTCATTCTAGAAAGACTCTCTAACTCAGAGAGATCTAAAATTGGTGCTTTCATCTTGTGAGCTCTTGATCATGAAGATTCAGGATATGGCGGAAGAAGTGTCATCGCTACAACATCGATTTGATGAATCACAGAGTCAAATCGCTTTGGTAATCGCTCAGATGCAACAATTGAATGAATCGATTGGGGCATTGCATGCGAAGGAGAAGACCGCGATGGATTCCTCTCACTTGGAAACAAACCTATCTGCGACGGGAAAGGGTTCAGGTTCAGGTTATTCTGATGGTGCTGCAACGGGAGATCCACGTTCATTGCTGAAGTTTGTGCGGATGGAGATTCCGTTGTTTGACGGAACAAACCCAGACAATTGGCTCTTCAAAACTGAAATTTTCTTTGACCTACAGAAGGTTCCACCAGAATTGAAGGTACAATTGGCAGGTTTGAGGATGGAAGGGTCTGCATCTTCTTGGTTTCAATGGAAATACAAGAGTGGCGCGATTAGGCTATGGGCAGAATTTACGGTTGAGTTGCGGCAATGATTTGGGGTTGCTCCACAAAACAATTTGACGGGAGCTTTATCCAAATTGTCGCAGACTGGGTCAATGAAAGAGTACTTGTCTGAGTTTGAGAAGCTGATGAATCAAACGTCAGGGTTGAGTGATGGGTTATTGATGTGTTTCTTTGTGTCTGGACTCACCGCGAGGAGGGCCATTGAGATTCATGAACCCAAATCATTACAGCAAGCTATGCATCTGGCGACAGTGTATGATTCTCACTTTTCTGAATTGAAGGTTTCGTTGAGTTCTGGGGTTAAGAAAGTCCAGAATCATTGGTCTCAGACTAATGAGGGCAGTGGAGGATCAGTTTCAGCGAGTTTAACACCAACTATTCCAGTCACAGCTCCAACATTAGGAGGTAAACACGCTCTGTCTAATATACCTTTTAAGAAGCTATCGAATGAGGAGTTAGCAAAGAAGAGAGAATCGGGCATTTGTTATACCTGTGATGCCAAATGGACTAAACAACATAGATGTCCGAGTAAAATGTTGCTGCTGTTAGGTGATGATTCTGATGGAGATGAGGAAGAAGAAATAGTTTGGAATTCAACATCCAATCCATTAGAGAGGGAAGATGCTGCTTTGCATTCCCTTTCTGATAATTCTAATGCTAAGGCATTCAACTTCCTAGTAGAGGTGTATGGGAGAGAAATTCATACTTTGGTGGATACAAGAAGCACACATAACTTTGTCCAGAAGGAATTAGCTTTGGAGTTGGGTCTCAAATTGGTTCGGGTAAAGAAAATGCGTGTGTTTCTTGGTAATGGCGAATTTCTTACCTGTGATCACAAATGTCCACAGCTTCAGTTACAAGTACAGGGGCACCAATTTCTGGTTGATTTTTGGGTATTAGAGTTGTCCAAAGTGCGATTGATTTTGGGCATGAAATGGCTGGAAAATCTAGGGAAGGTGACCTATGATTATAAGAATCTCACAATGGAGTTTGCCTGGAGGGGGCAGAATGTGTTATTACAGGGCATTTCAAAGCAAGATGGCAACCAAGGGGCTGATGTATTTCGGATGCAATGTTGGTATATGGCAGAGGCACATACAACAATAGAGGATACTGAGGTACTTCCTGAATTACTAGCTATTAAATCTGTGATAGATCCATTGTTGTGGGACATCTTGGTGGACAATCAATCAGTTTTCTTACTACCCATGGAGTTACCTCCGTTTAGAAATATGGATCATGCTATACACTTAGAGAAAGGGTCAAAGCCAGTTAATGTGAAGCCATATCGATATGGGCATCATCAAAAGGAAGAGATTGAAGCACAGGTTGATAATTTGCTGTCTTCTGAATTCATTCAACATAGTAACAGCCCGTACTCTTCTCCAGTGTTGCTGGTCAAGAAACATGATGATACTTGGCGAATGTGTGTAGATTATAGGGCTTTGAACAAGCTCACTATTCGAGATAGGTTTCCAATACCTACTATAGACGAGTTGATGGATGAGCTAGGTGGATCAACTATATTTTCTAAATTGGATTTAAGGGCAGGGTACCACCAAATACGGGTGTTGCCAAATGATATCCCTAAAACCGCTTTCCGCACTCATGAAGGACACTATGAGTTCTTAGTCATGCCATTTGGCTTGACAAATTCTCCAAGTACATTCCAAGCTGTTATGAATCAG